CTCTGCGTGTCTGGAAAAATCAGGTATTAGGTTGTGCACTCAAAACTAGCTGATACTTCTGATGATTTTGGCTTTAATCGGCAAGTTTTTCTTTCTCATGTGTAAAATGGAGCAGTGATGCAAGCCATTGTTACTATTATTCAAGTGTATTATCGTAGCTGTGGAAGCCACATTCACGAATCAGGATCCTGCTGTGCGGAGTACTGTACGAGCACTTCACATCACAGCAGTGCTGTGTAGATACTTCCACTGGTGTCTGCAATAAAGGAAGATATCTTAATAAGAACAACAAAGAACCTCAAAAAAAATAAACAGTTCTGCGTCAGATTTGGACATTATCCTGCAGAAGATGCACACTGAGCAATCAAGATAAAAATCAATATGAAGTGATGACCCAGGTGCTAACTGAAGCAGAAGTTCTCAGGAAAAAAATAGAAATATATATGGAAATGTCATTAAAGATTATAAGAGAATTCACGTGCACAAGAGGGAAGAGAGGAATACCGACATTTTCTACAATATCCACAAAGCAGACAAGAGAATTGGGACGAACGTCCCACCTGGCTTTCACTGTCCTCAGTGACCCACAAGCAAGCTTTTATCTTGTTGTTTGGAACCTTTAAAAACCACACCACAAACAAAAGTGTGGCCAATGAGGCCTTAATTACTGCCATGACAGAGCTGTCATTGTTGGTATGCATGTTTTGGTTTTGTCATGATAGGGAGAAATACAATCAGCAAAGCAAAGGTCCTCCTTTCATGTAATCTGTTGCTGTTTCAGGGTTTCAAAAACCCTGTGTGAGTCTCCATCATGAAGCAGAGCTGTTTCAAAGCAAAGATTTTCACTGGAGTTGCAACTAAAAATATTTCTCTTGCTCTAAACTTTGGGATTTTTTCCACAAGATTTTAATTCTGAAACCAGTTTCATTCAGCAACATCCTTTTACCTGCACTTCTATGCAAAAAGAGATAAATAACACACACCACCACACATAACACGTGTGCACAAACATGCACCACATGCCTGTTTTTCATGCTGGGCTGCAGCTTGTCATCAATTCCCAAAATAATTAACTTTCTGGAAGAACGGCTGGAGGAGAATAGTGCTTCCTCCACCTGCTGGTGAGGAAGAAGAAAAGATGTCCTGGCTCTCAGGCAGAGAGAGGGAGGTGAAGGCAAAGGGGAGGCCCCTGCGGCTACTCCCCATCGCCTCCCAAGTGCAGCCCAAGGAGAGAAAGGGAGGAAAGCTCCTGGCTTTTGCAAAGGGCAAAAGCTCTCCCGAGGGGAGATGGTAACTGAAAGGAAGCGCAGATAACACAGTACGCTTCACAAGAGGCTATAACAACCAGCAACGTTAGCAAGCTCCAGGTCCAGCGGTGGCAGGGAGAACAAATGACTCCCAGCAGAGCACCTGGCAGGAGGGCACCCGAAGGGAGCTGTAAACCGGCCGGGGTATCAAACCCCGGGGTTAAACTCTGCTGGGAGTGTTCCAGGCTGCCTAACAGGGTTTACCTGGTGTCTTCCATCTTTTAGAGAGCTACATGCTCCTTTACTAACATTAATTTAACTAATATTAATGCATTTTTGTATCCAGGCATTGCTTTCTGTGTAATGTCAGGAAAAGACAGATAACGAGACTGAAAACACCTATCTGTAATTTAAAGTTGCGTTATAAGGAGTATTTACTCTAGTGGAATCATTTACTCAAAGAAGAACCCAGCAGCATCTACTGTCTTCATGCACCATGCATGGGATCAGCCAGAGGTAGTCAATACACAGCTTATCTAAGGCTGACATAAGCGTAACTGTGGATTTCTTGGCTAACAAACACTGAATACGTAACAGGAACAAAAGCTCAGTTCTTTGGTTTAACATGTGCAAGATGACAAGTGGAGAAAACACCCACAGAAACGTCAACATGAGTGTCACTTCACAGGCTTGCGATATCATCTCTTCATCCTTACACTTACTAACAGGTGCCTTAATTTAAAATATCATAAGTTACACAGTGTATACTGCGCCAGTACTAATGAAGGAAATCTTGCTGGCAAAGTTAAGCACCTCATATGTCATGTAGTGGGCAATATTTTAACTGCTTCGTGAAGGACGCAATACTGTCTGCAGTCACTGTGGTAACTAATACACAAATTCACGTAAGTTGTTTCCAATAACAAGCTAAATGTATCATACAATCTACCCTGGAGCTTTATGGCAGGAAGCTTTACAATCATGTTCCACTGAGTTAAGAGGAAAGACAAAGAAACTACAACAACGTGAATAAACCTGCAACCTGTTAATAAGTGGCAAATACTACTTTCATTCAAGTCAACAGAAATCCTGCTATTGATTTCCAATAGCGTAGGACTAAAGCACATCTGTAGCTTGGATCAAAGTGTCTTCTCACCTTGGTTTTACGTCATTAACTCAAATATGCCAATTTCTATTTCATTCCTGAGCTCTCTATTTATTCAGACGATGACAAATCCAGAGTTCATGCTTCATATGAAAAGCGTGGCTAATCATGCAAGTATCTTCATGAAGGGCCGTACAGCTAAAGAGACTGTTAATGGACAAGAGAAGCAGAAAGGCCAAACAGGAGAATTGCTTGGACAAGGCCGATGACTGGGAACACAATGCAGCTGCCAAGGTCCAGCTTCGCAATCTGTTACCATGCAGCTTCAAATACCTGCTTAACACTGAGTAAAGAAAAAGATGATCACCTAAACCAGTAGCAGAATAGGAAGCAAACAGACTGGACTAGAGCGACCTTGGGACTCTCGCTACCTAGCTGCCGCTTGCGAGATGATTTGCATTGGAAGTGGTGCAAGGGACGGTGCCGGCCACATCGCTCACTCCGTGCATCCCCTGCTGGACACAGGGCAGCATCCAGTCCGACCTGCACATGAACGCTGCAAACGCTGCCCGCTAATAAGAACTGAGGAGAGGAAAGGGAAAAGAAAGGGGGTGGAAAAAAAATGAAGGAAAACTCTGCCCCTCTCTGATCAGTCATCCTGTCAGTGCTCTCACCTCACCCACAGAAAGCAATCAGCCTTCACTGCAACAGCCAGCCAAGGGAACTGTCAGAAAACAAGAAGCGTTTTCCATTCACTTAGGTCTGGCTGGATTCCTAACAACTAGCTTTTATTCTGTAAGCAGACAAAATATGGATATTTTACATACGCTCACAGATGTTAAAGTTCAAACAGACACCTTACACCAGAACTCGCCTGCAGACTAGTTAATAATTATGAAGTGCCACACGCCAAGGCTTGTATTACTACAGTATAAAAATCACACCCCAGTAAGGATTTGTTTAGCTTCTGCATACCAGCCGATAGAGCAAGTGTAACATTTTTACTGCATTTAAGATTGCATGGGTATTCTGATTTCAACCCTCTCCATTTCAAGATGGCATTAGCCGTATAAATTCAGTTCAGACCATATCATCCAAGTATCCTCATCTGTGTAGCTGAAGTGCTTGACAGTTAGCAAAGTACGGAAAGACCAGGTGCGTTAGTAACTTAGAGGAGATACACATCTACGCTGCATCCTTTCCTTTGAGAGGGCCCTTCCCAAAACCACATCTCATTTACAACACAGTCACCTTTTTTTTTTAATTTATCAAGTCTTTTAAAAAAGGTGTTTTCAATGTATTGGCTTATTTACTACATTTTGTAATGCAACTAAAAAATAATCTACTTACAAAATAATAGTATATAACATAGCCCTGGAGCTTTTGTTAGCCTGAAATTGTAAAACAGCCAAGCCAGCAAACTTTAAAAATCATGGACTGGGAGTGAGCATGTGCAGAGATGTCCATTTCTGGTTTCTCTTCAGCCTGCCTCCAAATGAGCTAATAAACTGAAAGCATACATGATATGACTCTACAACTTGGCTGAAACTCTCATTTTCACTGTCGACACAAAGATATTTAGCTGCAAAGTAAGTATCCCTTATTAAAGCCATAGCATGTGCAATTTCATTTTCTGTTTTACAGTTGCTTCTGCCTCTGGGTGCGTGTTGAGCTTCCAGGCAACCCAAAGGGAAAGATAAATGAGAGAGAACCTGTAACGTCACTAGGGAAATGTTTTGCTTTTAGATGAAGTCTAGTGAAAACTCAATTAGTCTACTTCACATGAAAAGCAGTGTTAAGACCTCTTTAGAAAGCATCTATTTCTCTGGGCAGCCTTTAATGCAACGCCTGCCTCTCATTCGCTTGCCCTCTCTGAATACTTACATATTTCAGGGAAGGAAAAACGACAATAACTCTGACTAATGCGTACATTTCTTCAATTGCATTTCTGCGCCCTGCTGGAGCACTGTACCAATGAGGAAATGCTGAAGCTGAGTTATTGCTGGACAACCTCCGGGCTGCTTGAAGTCTCCAGCCAGCCGGCACCGCTGAGCGGTGAAACGGATTGTAAAAACCAATGGGGCTGGGTTGCAGTCCCTGCGATTTTTTTAGGTGTCAGCAAAGTTCAGGTCACAAAAGTATGACTGAATCACGGCATTTTTAACCGGAGAACCAGCGTTTGCCACTCTGACAGTACTCTCTGAGCGGCTCTGGTTAGCCGGGGGATGTGACAGGTTTTGCTAAACCGTGAATTTCCAGTGGGGAAAGAAAAACTGTTCACAGTGGACCCGCACGTAAAAACAAACCAAAAACAATAAGCCACCCTATTTTTCCAATAATAGCACATCCTTTTAAAATGTACCGATGTACAATACCACCACCACACCCCCCCTAAAAAAAAGTTTCTCTCTAGGATTTGCGCTCCAGACAAAGCCCTGGAGCGAAGCGGCCGCCGGCAGGGGTGGGATGCTGACCCGGGCCCCGCGGGCTGCCGCCGCGCCCGCCCTGCACACGGAGGGGTCTCCCAGCGGGCCCCCGAGGGGATGCACCCAGCCGGCTCCGTCCCGAAGGCGGTGCTGGATACAAAGTAAGATCGATACATACAACTAAAATAAAAAGGCAAAGGGAAGCCCCGCCGCCTGCCTTACCACTCTGCCAGAAAACCTCTCGATGGCCCGCTTGACTTTGCCATAGGTGCCTTTGCCCAAGGTCTCCTGCAGCTCGTAGCGGTGCTTCAGGTTGTGCTTGTGGTGATGCCGCTTCACCCCCTGCTGCTTCCTCGCCGCCGTTACCTCCGGGGACGGAGCCTCCCCGAGCGGCTCCCCCATGGCCGCTGCTGGCGCCGACCCTGGCCCGCC